TCCCCTCTCTCCATGGCAAGCCAGGGAGATGGCAGTGCTCGGCTGTTACCGGGAACACGGTAACAATCTGTTTTAAGCCTTTGATCACAAGTAAAGATGGTTTTAAGGGTTTCTCGCATTACAGTTCACAGTAGGTACTAGGAGGACGGTACAGTATCAGCCCCTTTCTACTTACTAGAAACAAACCCTGTGTAAGCGTCAGCAGTGTTCGGAGCAGCTTTGTGTCAGCGGGATTTGTAGGCTGGAGGCTTTTCCTGGCATTTTTTTCATGATGCAGTCCAAGCACAGGCTGCAAATGTTGGATCACAGCAATGAGCAGTCTCGAGGAGTTTCCTCCTATCTCCTCCTGGCTTTCTCTCCTAATGAGACATCCCTCTGTAGTGCCTATAAATACGTTACAAGTTTCAGCCAGGTTTTCCTTTTTGGTCTGGAATTGCGAGGGAGTTCTGGGGGTTGTTCTGAAAGGCGAAGAGAAAGCTGAGCTTCTGCGAGAGGCCTCTGCAGCATTTGTGTCAGCCTTTCGTTCTTGTGTGAAGAATTAAAGTGGGAACAGATAGTGAGACGATAAGGAAGAGTAAATTTAATGAGGTGCAGAGGGTGTTGCGTGTATAGCTCTCGCACCTTGCTTCTTTCTGTCCAGGCACCTCAGACTGTATCTATGCGCAGGAGATTTCAGTAGTCGTGAGTCGTTCTCAAAACCCTCTGACAGCTTGTTATTAGGTTTTTCATTTCCAGCAGATGACAGGGCAATGCTGTCATCTCTCTGCAAAGAGCAGGAGGGCCTGTGGGAGAAGTGTCAAAAAGAAGTAAGGACACTTTGGAACAATGTAATTTGGTAAGCTGCTTGCATGTTGTGAGTGAAAGCAATTAATATTCTTGTTTGGGAACTATCTTTTTACAGGCCTTTTCACACTTAATATTTGGGGGCGTTCCGGATGTCTTTTTCCCTATACCTGCAACTCATATGTCTTTGATTGTCTTTTGTGGTGGTTGTCACAGATACATCAAGACCTCAGGCAATGCCACCGTTGATCACTTGTCCAAGTACCTAGCTGTGAGATTGGCTTTGGAGGAGCTTCGTAGCAAAGGAGAGTCAAACCAGATGAACCTTGACACGGCCAGTGAGAAGCAGTATACCATTTACATTGCTACTGCTAATGGGCAGTTCACTGTAAGTAGATCTTCTGTCTAAAAGTAAAACTGAGCACCAGTACATCTTTGATACAGAGTTGATTAAAATCCACTCAGCTGGACTTTCCCTGAGTTGGCTTAGGGATAAAATTCGTAGCACCAGGTTGTTTATATAGAAGCAGATCAGTTCCTTTGTGGGAAAGTGTCTACAGCAAAAGCTTGGTTAGCAGAAAAGCAGGCATAGAAATTAGTTGGGGAAAAATCCAGTGACGCCAGCAGCGACTACCTGACTTATGCCATTATTTTGCAGTTAAAATTGAAGAGGAAAACTATTACTTCATCTGAGAATCTTGTTCCAAGAGCAGATAGCTCTAGCACCAGGAAGTGTCTGTCGTAAGGTGGCATTTCTCCGCTTCTGTGTAGGCTTCTAATATTCCACCATGAAACAGCTGTGAGTACACTTAGGGAAGAGTCCCTCCTCTCAGTTGCTGACTTCAGACTATACGGATACAACAACAAGGCAGTATGTCAATTAGATTGAACCTGGTCTCCTAGGTGGACATTTATCTGAATAACGTAAGTCTTCTGGTTAAGAGCTAGGCAGATGCTTTGCAGTGTCTGTTTCAAACACGACTACAGATTGTCCCTTAGACAAAAGCAGAGATGCTTCTGGTGTAAATACACGTCCACTACTCCCTCTGCAGAGAGAGGGAAGAGGAAAACTCAAGTTCGCTTTATTTACAACTTCATTCACTTTGCAAAAAGTGTTTTTTGGTGCCGATTCGGCGAGATCAGCAGGAGTTCAGAATGGCTTGCGTTGTTGCTTTTTGACGCCGAGCGGCCAGCTAATAGCTAGTTCCACATTATCAGCGACTTCTTGATGTCGGAGAGTCCTCTGATTTAAGTAGCTGTCTGTTGCTGCAGCACTGCCTGTGCAAGCCATCAGATTTCACTTCTGTTTTGGTGTTCTCTTCTAGGTATTAAATGGGTCATTTTCCTTGGAACTGGTCAGTGAGAAGTACTGGAAAGTGAACAAACCCATGGAACTGTACTATGCGCCAACAAAGGAACATAAATAAGCTGTGCTGGAAAACTGAGATGGGACTAACTTTTTATAGCTATGACTTTAATATTAAAAGAAGGCACCACCATTATCTTCATGGACAATACATGTGATGCCTTCAGGCTCTCAGTATACTTATTAATATGATTAGACAGTATTCTGGGTTGTATTTAATTTAGTCTTTGTTTTTGGGGTTTTGGTTTTTCCCTAGGAGATTAAGCGACCTTCTCCAGTGCATTCCAGTGTTTGACATGCTTTTTTGTTCCTAATGCATGATAACTGAACGAGTGTTCCGGTTTGGAATGTCTTAATTTTGTCCAGGTAAATCTGGATTTCTAATACATTTGACACAGTTATAGTAGCCTCTGTGAAGTATTGAGCATTGGATGGCTAAGTAAGTCTATTCAATAGTAACATATGCCAAGGAATGTGTTAAATGTTGTAATTTGCTACTGGTTATCCATATAAAAAATTGGTAGAGAATAGATTTCTGATAGTCTTGCAGCTAGAGGCCATCCCATTCCCTGGAAAAGATTTCTTAGTGAGAAAACCGACACTTTAAAACCTTGCTGTTTACTGGGCTTAATGCTTCAGTGCAAGGTGATTCATGAAATTGGTTTGCTTTTTAATTTATATTTCAGTCAAAAAAAACCTCCGAACAACTCAAACCCGTCACTCTTCCCTGTGTAGAACGTGCCAATCTTGGTGCACACCACAGCGTCCCATCTGGCCCTTGTTGCAGCGTTATCCCGTCCTGACGAACTTAATTGAAGAAAATCTTCTGGAAGTTTTACAGCCCTGTTCCCTTCCCTATAGTAACAGCTTTTTGCTGTGAATGTATTGGAATGATCTGTAAGAAACTGTCCTGAAAACTTTTTTTTAACGCAAAGCCCTGAAATTCCGGCGTATGGACGTAATGCATCATCGAAACGCTCCGCTTGATGGAATTTGTGCCACCCCAGCTGTGAGCTTATCCAGGCTTCAGTTTGAGTAGGGAGGACTTCAACCGTAAGCTGCTTGAAGAGTGTATTTTTTTCTTTTTTCTTGCCATACCTTTAACAAATGTGGCTTAGCACTTTGGAAGACAATTTTAGTATTTGACAAAGTTTACCATTTAGTGTCTTAAATTTAGGTTCGAGTTTTAAAGCTTGGCAGTAGGCCGTTGTGTAAAGTCCAGTACCTACTGTTCATGTGCATGTTCAACTCCTCTTCCCTCACACTGGGCCTTGCCAGCACTTAATGGCAGGGTTGCTTTACCTGTTGGCGTTCTGTCTTAAGGGAAATGATGTTACCGTGAGATTCCCTTTGCTGTAAGACTTGCTGATGATGCCTTCACCCATTTGCACCTGAAGCTAGAAACAAAAAATGTTGCTGATTGATAGGCAAGAAGTAATATACTTTAAACGATATGGTATTGCTCCTTCGTTGCCTTGCCTGTAGTTAGACTGTCTTTGGCATGTGGTACGTAAGTATTCAGATGCTCGGGGATCCTCTCGGGAAGGAACTACCCTTCCATCGCTTCCGTCTTTCAAGCCTAGCACTTGTAAATACACATCCATTCTGATTGCTCTTTCAGCTCAGCTTTATCCCGATGTGAAAACTGCACAGGCTTCTTTGAGTAACTTCATTATTTTATCTTACTGGAAAGACTTGGGGTTTTGTGACATGAAATGGAAGTTTTCATGCCCCAGAACACCGAGGGGCCAGTTTTTAAGGAAATACGTTATTCATGACTTTCTGGTGAAATGTTGCATTGTAGAGGCTAGTAGTGCATGTCCACTAAATATAATCCGGGGCAGGGGGGTGGAGCGGTGATTATAAATGCTTTAAAATTTATGGGGAGACTTCTAGATTAGCTGCAGCATACCTTCCCCTTGTGATAGCTAAGGTAATGTCTGGTCCCTTCAGCAAGAGAGGTGTTTGTGAAGCTGAGCAGCCTGTCTAGGAGCTGTCTGTCACTTTGTCCCCAGTTCTTTAAAAAGCGTGGGAGAACGTGAAGCTTTTATTTTCATGTTGTAGTGAATTTACTGAATATTTATGTTCTTTAAATATTATATATATATATATAATGTAGTTGTTTGATTAAACCATTGATTGCACTGTGACTCTTTAGTGCTATAAACTATTTTATTTTCAAAACGACTTTACTCTTCCACCTTTTAAAGCCATGTTATTTTTTAAGTACATAATGTGAGTTAGGTACGGGTAAGCCTAAGAGCTCTAGTATCCAACTAAAGTCACGCCGAAATTCTCAAATTGACAATAAAAGCAAAAAGATTATCAACAACCTATTGGAAATTCCAGTTTTCTAATTCAGACATGAAACCCTCTGGCCAATTCGTGTGTGTTTTAGTGCTGACGTCTTTGCGGGTGGCCGGGGGGAAGGGTGAGTAGCTCCGCTGGTGTTGATCTGAATTGAGTCTGGCCCTGAGCACTGCTACAGTTTGTTGAAACCAACCGAGCCCCTGCGCGGGCTACGTGCCTCGAATGAGAGGTGCATAAAGGTTGCGGCTCTCCCTGTGACCTGCCATAGGTGCTGCTGCGCTACTCAGATCCTGTAGCCTGTGAAGCAGGATGAAGGATTTTCACAGGAGTCAGGGGAAACCCAGCGACTCAGGTTGCATTTAATTGTCTACTAAGCAGCTTCAACAGAAAACAGCGTAGGTAACTATAACGGATCACTTGGGCTGAAGTACATTATTTAAAAAGTGAAAACAAGGAAAGGAACAGAACTTACCTCTACAGTTATTACAACTTTTAACTGGAAGGATGCACCTTGAGTTAAGAGGGAATGCTTGTGTACACTAAGAGTAGGGTTTCTTGAGATGTACTGAACTTAAGCTCTCCGACTGCAGAAGGAGGTCCCTTTCTGCCTGTACTCCTGCTGCTCGCTGTGCCGACACTGGTTTTCAGAGCCTTCCTGAACAGCTTTAACTCCCTTCAAGCTTCCCTCAGTCACCACTAAACAGAAAACACCCAGAGAGCTCATGGGCAGCTACTCTCTGCTCTGTGACCCTCAGCTAAAAAGCATGAGAGGTGCCGCTGTGCTACCCACACTGGTAGCTAGATCATACCCTACAAGTGAGTTTTCCATCATCCTCTGGTGGTTGTCCTGCAGCGTGCGGATCAGCTGATACCCCGTACCCTAATGGTTCCAGCAGTTAATCGGTTCTGATCTTCTGTTCAGCACAAGCCACTTGCAGCAACACTTTGATCCAAGCAAGGTTTGTCACGTGTTTGTTGAAGGTCTGTCATTAGCGATAGTGGCACAGGGTGCCTGGCAGAGTACTACACCAAGTATCAGCTCAGGCCTGGTGGTACAACATCGGCCAGCTCTAACAATTTAAAAAGAATCAGCAGTAACCTTGCCACCAACACCTGCGTTTTCCTAATTTGTTTACTACTGTATTTACTACTGTAGTAGCCAATGGTGGCAGTAGGAGTTACCCAAGTTGATGAAAACAGCTTTGGGTGATGCTGTTGTGCACAGTGTGCAGCATGAGGACAATGTGGCAGTCACACCTTCCAATAGAACAAAGAAATGACAAGGAGAAGCCCCCCAACAACAGCCCTGAGCCGAGCCAACACTAGTGTTCTGTTAACTGCTGAGTGCGGGACTGACCCTACCTGATGAACAGCTGAGACAACTCTTGCACAGGACGGGAATTTTCATAGGCCCGAGTTGCAAACCCCGGTCACTCGGAACAGGCCAAAGTCCTTGTCCCAGGGTGCAACAGCTTCTGCTCATCTGACACAGGAAAAAAGCCCCAGTTGTATGGACAAGGCCTTGCTACTTAGGAGGAGCTGTGAAAGTAATCAAAAATATTTCCCACAACAGGCTTCAGTTAAACTTTCTTTTTGGCCTACTTTATTGTAACTGGAACACTCTCTTTTGCTCCACTTAACTGACTTTATGACTGATTCTATCCCAATTAACATTAATACTCAAGTGGGCAGTGTGTTATCCGCAAGCAAAGCCTTCCAACAGTCTCACCAGTTAAAGGTAAATACTTAGTGTTCCCTAGTTGTTCTGAACTAACTTTTCTTGCTCCTTGCACTTATCTTTCCAATTTTATCCCAAGTTATCTTTGAAAAGAACTATAAGCACTAAATTTTTGAAGAAAACTTATCATTTGTTGCTGTATCGCTGCTGAAGTGCCATCTATGATCCCTTCAGTGGTCTCCTTTTTTTAATTAGGACAGAATGAAAATAACTCATTACCAAAGCAGTCCTGAATTTAAGATGGTGTAAGAGGCAATAACTTAATTCTGCCCTGACAGGGGCTTAGCAAGTTTTCTATAGTCAGGAGTGTTTCAGTGCTGTTACTCTTGGTTGGCGCTCAAAGAGAGAAGCAGAGATGGATAAATAAGTATTATAACCCCTCATATTCTGCTCTTAGATAAAGCTGGCATTGGGGGCCAGGCTGAACACCAAACCTGTGAAAAACTGGAAGGACTAGTTCAATTGCGATAGTTGTTCCCAATTCAAGGGGAACGCACGGAGGAGGTACCTGAACAAAGTCTGGGGGAAAGAAAGGACAAAGTCAGGCTTCTTTGGCTGGAATGCTGCCATATATTTAAGGAAACCAGAACAGACTACCAACACACAGCATCTTTGCTCGTTCACAGAAGAGATCTTTTTAACAGCTAAGATTGTATTAATTATTGACACAGTCATAGCAAAACTTCACCTCTAGAACTTCAACTTGTGGTGCCTTGTCCTGTACACAATTTCCAAAGGATGTGTCCTTTGCAGTACACACCCAAATTTAATCTCTGAACAAACAACTACCTAGGGTGACTAGCACAATTCACTAAAGTTTGGTTATAAACTGAAGTTTCAGTAACAGTCTAGAAACCATTCCTTTCTGGTCTTGCTTGTGTCGGGTCCTTGCTTGTAGGCAGAACTATGAAAATGGAACTGAATGCCAAATTACATGTGCAGCCTGGAATTAGAAGTGCACTGAGTCGGGGCTTTCCAGCTTGCTTAAACTCAGATCACGTTTTATCCTGTGATATTTTATCATCTTAGCATGACCTTCCTCAGAATCGTAACCAGTCAGGTTTTAGGAATGATTCATTTTAGGAATATTCTGTTTCACATTAACCTCATGCTCAGAAATGCTTAAGGCTTTTGGCCCCATCCACCCTTCTGGATCCTGCACTAGCAGTACGGCTTTAACAAAAACCTGGGAGCAGCCACAGTGCCTTGGCGTGAAAGTGGGCATGAACATAAAAGCAAGTCACTGTCTCAGAGACCTTCTCATAGGGACAGTACCTTGACCACCCACACGCTGTGATCAGGGCTAAGTTCTGCTACTTAATTCTAAAACGTCTTTTCAAATTAAAATAGCGGACAACTCAAGTTTTCAAAATCCAGTTTGGTAAGAAGTACTGGCTTACTTAAAGAGGGTGTGTTTGCAAGTCTCTCATATCCTGATCTTCGAACAGAATTAATCAGCTGCACAGTGAGTAGGGTAGTCTTTTGTGAATACAGTGGCAGCGACCGCAGATTTACCATCTTCCAGAAACTTGGCATCTTCTGCCTTGCCATCTGCGGCAGCTTGAACCTGTTCTCCTGCCTGGACATCCTCAGTTAGATGGACGGGGCCTTCCGCCTGCCCCCCCGCGTACGTGGGTGTGCTGTACTTCATAAGAATAGTCTTAAATTGCGCCAAGGGCGCGTTCGTGCGAACTCCCATAGGATCAAAGTGGGTTCTACTTACTCTGTATCCAGCTTCAGAGAGATAGCTTAAGAACTTATTTAACCTGAAACAACAACAAAGCCGTTTCAAAAGGAGCTAGTGCTAATAAGGCTGGTTCAATACCAGTAATACATCAATTGTCATAGTAACGTAAGACTGGAACTTAAACAAAAACCTTACTTTGGCATGTTCATTCCTTTAATACTGTGTCTGTGGATATTGTAGTAAAATGCAGGGTGCTCAGCACTGTTCTCCGACTTCTGTCGCTTGGCTGCATTTCGCATCACTTCATCACTTCTTCTTTTTCCTGGACCACCAAGAATGCCAGTGAAACCAGGGAATACTCAGTGAGCACACCAAAAATGCCCGTGAAGCCAGACAGTACATACAAAAAAAAAGCCACATAGCAGATACACCCTTGTGCCTGCCTTTATAGGCTAGTATTTTGCAGAGTAAAAATCTAGCCTGAATTTAATTAATATGCCATTTTCAGTAACAGAAAGTCAAGTGAAGAAGGCTTCATGGAGTATTTAGCATTCTGCTTTTACCACTGAAGATGATTCTGGATGAAGATAAAGTAAAAAACTCAGTATTCAGTGGGAAAATAAATCCTGAGTACCAGTACCATTAAATATAAAAAAAAAAAACCCAAACCATGAACACTAGGTTGGCTTAGCCATCGCTTAAACTATAGTTTAATTTGAAACTGCTAGAGCTAAACCAAAATGATCTACTCACCATGTACCAAGTAGGATTCTGCAGAAGTGCTTGGTGTTTTAATATATACGCCACACTCTTCTAGAATACAATGAAAGGTGAAAATTAATTCTACTGTAAGACAGTAAAATGGCAAAATGCCTTGGTTAAACAGAAAGAAAGAATGCCACATTCTGGCCTATAGAAGGAAGCGTAGTAAGAAGCATACATATGGGTAACTTTTACATACTAACTCAGTAACTTGAATTTAGAGGGGATATTCAAAACAGGATTTCATTCAATAAGAAGAACACTCCCGTACAGAAAGCCATTTCTCGTGGCACCCTGATTTGCAATCCCTGTGGAGCATGCAGAGCATCACAGCTGAAGTCCTCTCCTCCTGACAGCACACACTCTCAGGTCGGGATCAGGGTACACCAAAGAACCAGCAGACTTAGTATTTCCACCTCCTTCAGGGGACACACTGGATTTCATGGCAGTCAACCTGTCTGCGTTATGTTTATTTGGTTTAGGATCTGTCATACTGATTCAAGATGTCTAAATCCAGCGCTCTGCCTCTGACAGACCCTGCTCTTTTTACAGCACCAAAGACCATCTGACGAGAGCTGGCAGGTCCCACACTGCACTCAATTTTATGGATACACTGCTCTTTGATAACTTACTACTAAGAGCAGCATCTCTCAAACACCACAAAGCCAGTCCTTTTTGTGACCAGTCTGCCATTTTTCTTACCTTGTTTGTTCTCATCGTAAGGACTATGGGTAGAAAAATGTTTTAAAGTTGTGCACTCTGCTTCGCAAACTAATGTCTTCAAAAGTGGCTGAGCTTCATCCAAACCATACTGGACAGCCTCAAACAGCATTCTTCTGAGGAATCCAGTGTTAAAGAGGGCGCCTGACCTAAGAAGTGCAAGACAAGTGAAAAGTTAAGACTTCTTAACGAAAGCAAAGATACTTTAAAAATCTCTTGCCCAAATGGATCAGCAATTGCGTTACACCAAAATGCTGCATCAGGCTGAGTTCTTAACTTAGCGATACTGAATTGTTTTGTTTGCAGTGTTAAAAAAATCAAGATCTCAAGAATGGTAATTTTATTTCTGCCCTAATATGCTGAGAAAGTCATTTAAACTCCAAAAGAAAGGTACTGTCAATCGTCAACCGTTTTTAATACTGCTTTGAAATGGTTAAAGGACTTAACAGAAAAGATTTATTCTTCTTTCCCACAAAAGAAAATTCTAAGTATTAATTATCAAGCAGTGTATTACTTATTATTGTCAGCACATATAAGGATTTACTAAATAAATTCTCCACAAGTATAGAGCAACGAAGAGCTGCTTAACATTTGGCAACTAGAGGAACATGCAGCCAGGTTCTCCTGTGCAGGACGTATTACGTAAGTCGCACTGAATGTGACATTTAAAGCAAGTTTGCTATTATTTATTAACTGGTTTGAACTTCATCAATAAAAGTGAAAACTGAATACCCTACTAAATTCAAATCAACTAACTGTTTCCTGAATTCCTCCCGATTGCTGTACTTCCTTTTGTAGTGCTAAAATATCCAGCAGATTCTCATTTTTATTAGATGACTGAACAGCTGACCTCCAGAGGTCCTTCTAACCAAAATTCCTCTCCGATTCTTTATCGTGTTCGGAACTTACCAGAGAGGACCAAGAACTACTGCTGTCTTCCCAGGCATACTGCCGTGACAATCACAAGGCAGCTGCTGATAAGGGTTTTCTACAACAGAAAAACAGGATTTAAGTTGTTTTGAAATCATCAGCAATGCCTAATTTACTGGAGAGAGATGACACAGCTAGGAAGTAGTAGCTTACTTCAGTGGGTATTTGGAAGGGCAAGCAATGGCAGAAGTGTGACACCGTTCTCACTTCTGCCAAGCACTGCTTACAAGAATTTAGTGATTGATGACCTGATCTTTAATCATTGTTAAAACACTGAAGGGAAAAAAGCCACATAAGTTCCTAGGTTTCTTGGCAGATTTCAAGTAACGAGGAAATTATTATCCTTCCTATACTTCTATAAGTAGCTGTGCAGGCTAACAGTAAATATCAACAACAAAAAATTTCAGACATCAGCCAATTACATCTACAAAGGACAGCCCACCTACAAGTTTTCTAAGCAGTAAGTCAGCTCATTTGCAATTAAGGCATTAAGTAAACAATTCATTTACTAATTAAGATCTCTGTCGTAACACTGTACTTATCAGTTACTCATTCCCGTTCACTCATTCGTATCGTAAAAGTATTTTTTTTAAAAATCTTATTACTAACAAGCTCATTGCACGCTGATGCACCTGACGTTGAGCAGGGCACTCAGACGCCACCAGCTAGTAGGTAGATATCCAAGAACCTGTAACTTTGAAACCAGGTTTTTCCTTTTATATTCCTTCAAACTACCATCTGGCTAGTAGCTACCTCCTAGCTTAATTTTTGTCTCCTACCTCTGCGAACTCGTGTATAGAGACAGCCCACAAACAGTTGGTTTTTAACGTAGAGGCTGCCTTCATTTACCACCGAGCATTAGATGAATTACAGGACCGGTGCATACCTTTCCTACCACACCTGCCGAGGTATTTCCACCACGTCCTGTCTAGAAACAAATCCAGTACAGCAAAATCCATGAAGACAACTAATCTAACCCACCACCACAAAGCATGGTACCTTCTCCATCTCATACAAGACACTCATTGTTACATTAAAGTAAATTATTACTTTACTGAAGGGATGTAAACGTAAACAAGGCCTAAACAAGCACAAGATGGAGATACAGGAATCGGACCTTCTAGAAAGTGCAAGAGAAAAGCCATTTACCTTCTACCATATTACCCTCTTTCTGAAAAATTCTCTCTTCACACCACTGGCAATGGATGAGGTATTTTATTTTCTTTGCTGAATCATCCGCAGGGGATGGCCCCCTTAAAACTCTGACCACTACTAGAACAAAATGTTCTAGAGCTACTGCAAGTAAAACTTCGATGCCTTTGTTACAGCGAGCTGCAGCTCTGTGAAGGAAAAACACACACAAATGCAAATTATACTGAATTCAGCAGACTAACATTGCCACAGACCCCTGAACCTGCTGACAGATTCTTCAGCTCATCCGCTTTCCCGAAAGAGATACTAAAGATCCGAGAAAGCGATCGGGAGAAAGTGTCGTTTCTTAAGTGCCTGGTTTTGTCTCCTTCCTGTCAGGCTAAGCAAATCTTGGTTTGCTGCTTTTTGCCACATCTAGAAATACCGGTCTGCCATCTGCATTGTCTTTCTCTCCAAATACCTACCTAGTGCCAGGATATTGTAACAAAATAGAAACAAACTAAATGAAAATCTGAGAAAGTAGAAATGTAGAGGGACACGCATGAGGGTAAATCATCGAGTGTTAAATGAGTAAGGACTGTGGGAAGGCAAGTGAGCGGTTCCTGAATAGGTGAGGATTGAGAAGGAAGAAATCATCTCTGGAGAGTTGGAGCATGTAACCCAGAACACAATTAAAACTTTGCTTGAGCAGCATGCCTGTATCTAAGAGTATGCTGCAGGGAGCAACTTCACATATGCAGGGAGATAGAGAGGAAAAATCTGAACAAACTCAGGTCAGCTTTTGTGCTCTGGCATTCTGAAAACCTCTGTGCGCTTCACTTCCTCCCCATCTTTCCTGAGCAGTTGTCCCATCCTCTTGCCTGCATCTTTTTCTCCAGGGACCAGGTTCTATGTCTTCATTTGTTTAACAGACTGAATTTACTGAGGATATCTGTATTCAAACGACTAATTTCACAAGTTAGTAATTACACATATCTTCTTAACCTCTCAAGCACGAGAATCTGAAGTGAACGTTGGTTTCCACTGAAGCAAGTCTGAATGTAATGCTTAGCTAGAAGCCATTCAAGCAGCTTAATTAATATTTACAAAGTCCTATGCAGCACCAAAATGACAAGATTGACAGAGGAATAAAAGAGTTTGCAGATAAGCAAGCCTGGGTATTACTTCTTCTATTACCAACTCTCCCCACCACCAAAAAAAAACCTCCCCACCATCCCAAACCCCAACCCTATTTATACATTTTCACCTTGCCCAGTCTTTTAGTTTAAAATTTACATTATCGCATACCAGCACACAGAAAATATGAGACATTAATTTTGCATCAAGAAGTCTGGCTATTAGAATTAGGGAATTCAGGAAACTGAACACGTACAACCCACAGCAGCAATCTGAAGGTTTTTTATGGCTAATAATTTTCTAATTTTACCGTAATTTGCGCGAGTTTAGCAATACCTTGTCACAGCAGCAAGTACTATTCTGGCTGCCAGTTCCTTGTAGTACTCTGTTCTGACAATATTGCATCCATAATGACGCAGGGCAACATGTTGAGCCTTTGCATACAGAGAACTGACGTCTGTGGACGTCAGTGACACAATTCCAAGATTTCTCACATTTCTAAAGGCAGAATCCAGATAATTCACAGAAGTCCCGAAGGGGTCCAAATGGCTGAAAAGTAGGAAGTACCACTGAGTATCTAAAAATGCTGAAAAGTTTAGCTTTTAAAATGAGGAAAACACTTATTTTATAATTCTCACCTATGGTCATATTTGAAACAAAAGGAAGAAACACGACTAAAATTTATAGCACGCCTCGCATCAATTATGCTGGAATACTTACGTCTCAAATTTCAAGAGCCAGGGAAGCACTGTACTTGAAAATACACATCACCACAAAGCCAGCAAGTAATTTTTTTTTTTCATCCTGACCCACTGACTAATTCAAGTTACAAGAATATTTCTCTGATGCTTACCTTGATCCTTAAAACAAAGGGAAACTTCTAAAAACAAAAATATCTTCAGATGTATGCATTCCAGTTTGTGCACTAAATAACTGGTCTAATTTTCAGCCTGAACACCTGCTGCTTAGATCTGGATCTTAATCAGTACCAAAATAAAAATGCAATCACTTATTTTGATGTCTGTATAGGTTTTGAATGTATGCATCTATAAACCCAACCTGGAAGAATTAGCCTACTTTAATTGAAAATGCTGCAAAATGGATTAAAACAGGAGATGCAATAAAGTCCTACACAACAACAAGCAAAGGTATGAATTTTAAATGCATTAAAAGTTAAAAAAAAAAAAAAAAAAAAAATTACTTGACATTTCTCTTTATCAAACAGACAATGAAGTTGTATTAAAAATAGTTTGGCTTAAAATTTTCATCTGTATTTCTAGTCCATTCTGGGTGTCAGAAGGTCTTAAATGTTTTAGAAATGTCTAGAAAAAAATCAAGATCGAAGTTCTGTTCCCACGCCCTTTCTGGGACAACAGAATTACATTTAAAATACCAAGTGACTGTTGGTTGATTCTTTCATTCCAACTTCCCCAAATAATCATATACTGGTAGATGGGGTGGGGTGTGTCATTATCAAACCAGAAAATTATTAACAGAAACATTCAACACTTACATAAAATCAAATGATCTCAAATGCATTATAACGTTGGCATCCATTTTTGTCACCTCAATGGTGTCAGTATTTTCGTCTCCATCTCCCACAGCTTCATCATTGTCTTCCTCCTTAGTGTTCAGTTTCACCTTCATTTTGTTTAAATGGCAGTTTTCCTGAATCATTGTCACAGAATTTTCATTACAATCATTAATTGTAACTTTCACAGAACTTCTGAGATGCTTTGCCCATTGTAATCCCATTATACCTAAGGAAAGACAGAATTATAACTCCGTAACAGAATAAGGAAGTGGTTTCTGGGTCGCTGAGCTCACCAAGAGAAAAAAGATCATCCTAAAATGCTCCTTTAAATGCATCCTTTTAAATACAGAAGTGTGTGTGATGCAAATTTTGTCATGTTCCTGCAAAAATGTGGTGGTGACCTTCTGCCTCAGCACAGAGCGACAATGGGATATGTAGAGGGACAGTCTATTTGTCACCTTCTTCTATGACAACTGGTGCTACAGACCAAAAGACGTGCGATTTTTCACAGAATCATTAAGGTTGTAAAAGACCTTTAAGATCATCAAGTCCAACCATCAACCCAACACCACCATGCCCACTAAACCATGTCCTGAAGTGCCACGTCTACATGTTTTTTGAACACCTCCAGTGATGGTGACCCCACCACCTCCCTGGGCAGCGTGTTCCAATGCTTGACTACTCTCTCTGTAACGAAATTTTTCTTAATATCCAATCTAAACCTCCCCTGGCGCAACTTTGTTCTATCGCTAGTTACTTGGGAGAAGAGGCCAACCCCCACCTCACCACAACCCCCTTCCAGGTAGTTGTACAGAGCAATAAGGTCTCCCCTCAGCCTCCTCTTCTTCAGACTAGACAACCCCAGTTCCCTCAGCTGCTTCTCATCATACTTGTGCTCCAGACCCCTCCCCAGCTCCGTTACCCTTCTCTGGACACGCTCCAGCACCTCAACGTCCTTCTTGTAGTGAGGGGCCCAACACTGAACACAGGATTCGAGGTGCGGCCTCACCAGTGCCGAGTACAGGGGCACAATCACTTCCCTGCTCCTGCTGGCCACACTACTGCTGATAACAGTTTTGCAGCAAGCCAGACCCATTCTCTGCCGGAACCTTGGCTTGTTTAGCACTGCAGTGCCGCAGACAGACAGACTCCTGTGACAGACCACCACAAGCACAAACAGGAGGATAGGTACGGTGAAGATTTTCAGGCTGCCTCCACGTGTTTATTGCTGACTTTCGTAGCCAAGTCTATGGTTACCTTGCAGAACTGCAGGACAGGATGCACTTGTGAAGTCTGGCCTAATTCAGAATGGTGATAAATTCATTATCAAGAATTTTTATGCAAAATGCTAAGCAGCTACTGCTGTTCTCAACTATGGCCTGAAGTTTACAGTAGCTGGCTGATAACCAGGCAGCAATCCTGATCTCTTCAGATTTTTGTTCCAGATGGTTAACAGACACTGATATAATTACTTCACATTTAATTCGTGTTCAGAATTTTTATACTCAATTAAGAGATGATTCTGATAAAGAAGTTTGGATTCATCACCGTTTTTAAACCACAGGTTGATTTTACAGCCAAATTCCACAGCCACAGAGTCCAAGAGACCTCTGACCTGGGACACATGTTTAGGAAGATGCCATTTCATGAACATTCAGGAAACTGATTTTAAGGAGACCACTAAAACTTGATTTGGTATTTACAGTCTTTTTAAAAGGCCTAATACCAGGCTCTTGACAGCTGGGTTTTTTGTATGGAAGCTAATGACTGCCTGCCTAAGGAAGAAAATTATTGTGTACCCCACATGATCAGTGGCTACCGATTTCTGCAGCTTCATACTACTGGACAATAGCCAAAAGATTAAAGAGACTGACTTTACCAGTGGCACCGAAAGCATCCAAGCATTCTATCGGCTTACGTTCCTCAGCTAGAACAGCTAGTGCGCAGAATATCAATTGCCTTGAAAATAAAAAAAGAACAGTCATAGTAAGTCAGTTGAGAAAATGTTTTTCCTTCCTTTTCCTTATTTGTTTCCCTTGAACATAATACTAGAACATTTAAGCTAAACTCCACCTTTTACATGGAAGAATTGTAAATCAAAAATGTCAACTACCCTTGAAAGTTTAATTCTACAGCAGGATATCCGTAAGGCAAGATCCTGAATCAAGTTACTAGTTACACTGGAAAAAGTGGCTAGCGTTCAAAAGTAAGTAGTGGTTTTCTCCCTTTCCTAGCACATCCTACCCTACTGATGGCTCTGTGTTTAAAAAGATGTCAGAAATGACTGCAGAGCAATGAAATTCCAGTCTGTTGAGGAACAGGCCTTGTTCTTTCAGACATGGCCATAACCTTAGCTGTAGTGGCCTTCTTCAGCCGCATGCCTGAGCTTTCACAGAGATACTGGAGCCAACTTTAAACCCAGAAGCTCAAATATTAACAGCACTGAGAACATGAGGGGTCAGCACGGGCTGCGGCACAGTCCCATGCGTTGGTGTCAATGCTGGCACCTTTCAGTCGTGGTACAGACACCATTTATGACTCTCCTTAAAAAAAGGACAATGTTTCTCCCTTCATCTTTTTTTAATGCAAATAATAAGAAGACACGTGAGAGAATCTGAGTCCCAAGAGAAAAAGGCCTAGAATGTGAAAACTGTTAATTATAGGTATGCTGCTGTTCAGTTAGAGGAGAGCAGGAGCCATGATCACCCAAAGTATCTTGTGGAGGTTGACAGAAAAACATCTGGAGTGTATACAATGAAGTTAGTTGTCAAGTGTGCTCCTTTCAAATCCTGTTCTCCATAAACCACTCATTACAGAAAAATACTTAATTGCTTCAGAAATGACAGTATTTCCCATACAGTGTTCTTGGCTTTAACTATTATTCGTCCAGAACAGTTTTCTGATGGAAAACTACTTCTCCTGCCCTCTGAACAGAAGTTTTGCAGGGTCATCTTTTCAAAACGCAGGAGTGTTTCCCACTACAAACTCAGCACCGCTCTGGTGCATCCTCCCACTCCCTGTTCTCTCACCTGTTGAGTTTCATTTTAGGATTAAAATAGGAATCCGTTTTCTGAGGCGTGGAGTAGTTGGGAAGAACCTGCACATCCGTGGCTGACTCTTTCAGCACTTCGTGAGAAGACTTGGGAGCAGGAACTAAGAGAAAGTAAATGTGGGGGAAGGAAAGAGTTGCTGAGAATTGAAATTAACATTAGCACATTCGACAAATTCAATTGAAAATTTGCTCCCTTTATAGCAAGAATTCTGGATTATGCAGTAATCCAACCACTACACACGGATCAGTTAATGAGTATGTGGGAAGGAAAAAGCAGGCAACAAGTTACCTTCTAGTCCCAAGAGTGGCAGATAAGAATCAAGCTCTACCACAATTTTTTTCCCATGAAAGAACTGTTTCTCAGTTGGGCTCCTACATATCCACTCAAATTTAAGAAAGCAAGCCTGAGGCTTAGCACATTAGTTTTGCACGTTCAAACATAATACATTGCTAATTAATTAAAACCCTATTAACATAGTTCTGAATGTATAGCAAGGAACTGCAAAAATCCCTCAAAATCCTTGATCTAATCTCTGTAAGTTATAAAACAACTTCGTGAAATGTGTAGAGACAGCACAAGCTTAGGGACAATTTCAGCACTTAAGCTTCGTATAAAACAGTCTGTTTTATACAGGCAAAACAAGCTTTCTTGATCTGACAGCTGTAAACACGTGCTGTCATTCCTCTGAGCAATTTGTCCAGGGACAACCAGGAAAAATTCGTTAGCTATCAACTAGCTACCTTTCTGTGCTCAGCCTGCCCATCTCTCAGTGCTTTCAAACAGACAGGTCACGTATCTGTGAACTGCCCTCCCACATGCTCCACGTTCACAGCCCGCATGTGTTGCTGAAGTGCCTCCAAAGCGTGACATATCTGACCTCTGAATTTCGCCTCTCCCCATGAGAAAAAATAACCACATGCATTTTGTTAAAAAAAAATGACAAATGGGTCATTCTTTACTGACAGCTCTGAAGGGAACGAACGATACAGCGATGAATATATTTCACCACATAAATGGTATTTAAGTTAAAAGTATGGAATATGTACTACTATCACTTCTTTGACCTGCAGACTGATCCCCAGTCACTAAACTACTACTCCTAAACTGCATGTTGGCAACAGAAAGCAGCGTGACCCTCACAGCACCCATTCTCATCTTTATTATATTATATTTAGATAAAATCCATATGTCTACACAGAGACAGAGAGAAAAAAAATCAGACCAATTTTCAACAGTAACAGTCTGGGCTGTAGCAAAAAAGCCTCAATTTTTACACGCCAGCTAATCAATAACGTGCCTTTTACTTGACAGTTGTAGAGAACAGACAACTCACAAAAATAAAGATCTGGCATTCTGATTATTTCAAATGATTTCCAATTTAATTTATGTAAGTTTAGAAACAAAAGGGTAATTTTGGAGAAAGTCAGACAGGATTGTCATTTACCAAAGAACTACAGACCGCTCTGTCATGACTCTCCAGAACTGAAAAAAAAAAAAAAAGAGTCATCTTGTTTTGTGAACCCATGCTGATGCAGTCTGCATAAAAAACAAAGGATTTTTATATGGCAAGGATTTACTCAAGACTGATTTACACACACACCCAGCCAAATACATAGGCATTAAATTCTCTATACAGATTTCGTTCCATGGATTCCATGTCCTCCGTTCTTTTGGAGAGACAGGAACCTACATTTACAACAGTAAACTAATTGTGAATAGAGTATTGTTTATCAGTAAGAACAGAGTAGCTGGTCCATGTGGAGACTAAATCGCAACACTGCCACACCTTTAAGAAAACAAAAGTTCTGAAACGTTAAGGGCAGATTTCTCGTTTCTCTGTTTTGGAATTTTTCTCATGTCTCTCCCCCACCTATCATAGTTATTCCACATGCTAATAGTAAAAAAAGATAGAAAGTTTTATAGAAGAACCTACCTGTAATAAACCTTGATTCAGTTTCTCCTTTATTCACGTGACGATTAATATGACCTATCATGTCAGTTCTTCGCGTGATAGTTGCTGAACAGATGATACAATGGTAATGGGCTCCCATCTTTGAACATGTCTGTGAAATACAGTATGTGCAGTTTCAGAATACATAACCATGAAGAGGTCATCTGTCTGTTACCTCTAGCGCACACAAAGTATTTGGAATCTACAGCCATCAGAGCCTGTAAATTATCGTACCCGCAGAGCCAGCACAGCACAGCTCTCCTGCCACAGCACCACAGCCAGCCAAACGCTGCCAACACTCCACCTGCTCGGCACCCAGGGAAGGACCCGAGAAGCATCCCTTGTCTGGTCTCATGAACCCTTCATCTCTTCCACACAAAGCTGCTGTTTACCCCAAAGCGTGACAGTGTTCTACGTGATCTCAGCAGCTGCTCACCAAAATAAGAGAGAGATACGACGACATTCAACTACCCAAGGGCTGTATCAGATACTTATATTCTCGACCAATAAGCTTTTGGTATCCCACACTGGATAGCAAGACGTATTTTGAGACTGAGTAGATCGCAAAAGTTCCCCTACATCACCCATTTCCCCCAGTTTGTAGGCCAACAAATATTTCTGTGATTCAGCATTTTTACCTGGTCTCCAACAAGGTTTGGTTTTACTGGACGACAAGGTAAATGGCAGATGCACATTCTGTACCCTGGAAAACAAATTCTTGTCACGTCACAGCGCAGTAAGTAAACAGAACGTGTATGTCCTATACCACAAACTCCAATTCAAAATGTTCTTTATTTTTAGGGAATAGTCTCATGTAAGATTCCCAAATGTTGCCACAAGACACCAAGAAAAGAACATTACCAATTATACGATAAACTCGCCTTCCGCACAGAGAAATTTATCAGCTAATTATACATTATAGTTTTTTAGAATCTGAAAAATTTACATAAAGGCAATTCATTTTAGTATGTCTGTTAGCATCCTACAAAGGTACGGTGAGTCTTCAGGCTATATGCTATATAACTTTCAAAATAACTTCTGAATATTTCACAAAAGTATTGTTACCTGGTTAAAAGACTTGTGTGAATACTCCTATAAAATATACGTTCCACGGTCTAAAGAAAAAAACCCACACAACAAAGACATCTGCCAGTGCACACAAAAACAGAACTCCAGTCACATCATTTTTAATTTAACTTTAATCTCGTCCACCTTCTGATTAGTCATTTTAATTCCTGCAAACTCATACACCTAGTTCTTTAAAAACACATACTGCTCACTTCAAACTTCCTGTAGGGATTTTAATGCATCTTACAAGCAGACCACAGAGTTTGTTAAAAAACAGAAAAAGCTACTAAATACTGATACTAAAGAAATACTTTAAAGTATTTCTCAGAAACCATGGAATCTTTACGACGAGCCAAAAATGACTGCGTGTGCGTGTCTATCGGATTATTAACAGTATAACCAAAACTAATTTTCATTATAGGCAAATTTTAAATTTTCTAGCAATTTTCATGACATGCCAAGCAATTGTTGGTTTGGGTTTTTTTACATGAGAAAATGCACAGCTGTAACTATTTTGGGACATAGACTACAGAGCTATTCTACACAGAAATTTCACACCCCAGGTCAAAATTCATTATGTCAAAATATGGTTCTAGTTCAGAGCTGGTAACAAGATGCCTAAGAGGAATTTAAAAAGATGAAACAGAGAACAATCTCCTAGATGTCCACAATTTCTTCCAACATTTACTATTCAAACATGATTGCCATCACCTTCAAATTCAACAGAAACTTTCCAGTGCAAATTCTGAAGATGACGATGGAGTTTATGACTGTAGCAAGCTTTGAATTTCTCCTCAGGACACAATGGACACGGCTTCTTTTCATCTGCAAATATGAATAACGTACAAGAAACGTAAGAAATGCAGTTACCACTGATGGTAACAGAGATGCATGTCAAGAGAAAAAAGAACAAAGGTACTGCCAATGGGAGTTGGAGATTAATTCCCCAGAGTATATTCTATTTCAGGCACACACAAATGTCAAATACATGGATTGCCTCTTTCTACTCATAGAATCGCAAAATGATTTGGGTTGGAAGGGACCTTTCAAGGCCATCTAGTCCAACCCCCTTGCAATGAGCAGGGACATCTTCAACTACAGCAGGTTGCTCAGAGCCCCAGGCAGCCTGACTTGGACCTTACCACCTCTCTGGGCAACCTGGGCCAGGGTTTCACCACCCTCACTGTCAAAAATTTCTTCTATCTAGTCTACATCTGCCCTCTTTTAGTTTAAAACCGTTACCCCATGTCTTATCACTACAGGCCCTGCCAAAAAGTCTGTCCCCATCTTTCTTCTAAGCCCCTTCTCAGCCCTGGCAGCTGCAGGAAGGTCTCCCCGGAGCCTTCTCTGCTCCAGACTGAGCCCCCCCAGCTCTCCCAGCCTGTCCTCCCAGCAGAGCTGTTCCAGCCCTCGGAGCATTGCTGGGGCCTCCTCTGGCCCCACTCCAGCAGGTCCGTGTCTCTCCTGTGCCGAGGGCTCCAGAGCGGGATGCAGCCCTGCAGGGGGGTCTCCCCAAAGCAGGGAAGAGGGGCAGAATCCCCCCCCTCGCCCTGCTGGCCACGCGGCTTTGGGGAAAGCCCAGGACATGGTTGGCCTTCTGGGCTGCGAGCGCACATTGCTGGCTGATGTCCAGCTCTTCATGCACCAAGTACCACCAAGTCTGAACATGAGCCAGCAGTGTGCACAGG